CACCTCTCACTCACCCCATCAGAGAGCATTCAATCATCTGTAATTGCGATCACACATCACCCTTACAAAACAACTGCTGCAAATGCAATCTATAACTGGACCCAAACAGGGGAATGGAAATCCCATTCCTGGGAGTTCTAAAACAAACAATGTTAGTCCTACCAGTAACCTCTATCCTGAGAGGACAAGGTTAACATCGACACTCTGTGAATTGGTGCACCCAAAATAACAATCGCACCGAACAACACAATCAAAGCATTCCCGCGTTCCCTCATTGTTTAATTTTCTGTTTTTTATCTGCGATATCTCCCAGCGTGCTCTTATCTTTGACCCTCAGCTTGTAGCTTTGTGGCAGCTTCCCTTTTAGATGGCTGATGACCTTGGGAGGGATGTCATTAAACCCTGACCCATTTGATGATCCCCTCATGTGGAATACATATGCCAAACGGGAGCCGCTTTCACACAGCAGGGGTGACGTGAAATACTTACAAAAATATGACTTGACACACTTTATCAAATGGGGAAAGATGAAGACAAAACAGCTGCTGCTGCTGTCGTAAGCAATCTGGCCGTGATTGAATAAAAGTGTCAAGAAAAGGGCCGCTTGATGGTCTTTTGTTCTCTCCCATCCAGGTTGATGTTAGTTTGAGCTGTCAGGGGGGAATCACAGCTGTGTGATTTATCAATACTCCAGTGACCTTGTAGCCGGCGGAGGATGAGAGCACAGCGCCCCCCGTTTGAAATCTTGCTGAATGCCCAGAAACGATCCACATTTTGGGTCTGCGTGCCAAGTGGCGCATCGGCCGCCAAAAGAAGGGAGTTTGCTTGCACTGTGGATTTCTTTGAGAGTTGCAAAGAAAAAAAAAGCAACACTAAACAAAAAGGCTCAATGAACAACAATTTTTGTAAAGGATTATTATTCTATCTTAATTTATAAATATACTGTTGTTCGTTCATAATACATTCACGTTAATTACAAAATGAGTGTATATAGAAATTAAGGAAAGATGGAAAAACTATTGCATTTTCAGGCACTAGTCAACTTTGAGATTTTGGGTTATTTACTTGTCTTCTTTTAGACTAGTGAGACGAAAACAAACATTTTAAAAGTAAACATTTAAGTAGTTATTTTATTAAACTAAGTCTACTTGCCTATTAGATTTCAATTACTTCAGTAGCACTTATATACACAAAGCTTTACAGTTTTATTCCTATCTATATTCTAAAGGTTTTTGAGGAATTGGGAAAAAAATCTTTTAGTTAAAATGTTCACACTATACGGCTGAAGTGTCTTGCCCTAACATTAAATAATCATTTTAATAATACTCCCATAAACCCATCTGTGGAATAGATTTTATGCAAATTTTTCAAGGGATCTGCATAAACGAAGTCCTAATTAATACCTCTGAAGAAACCTCTGTACTGTTTGATACTAAAGTGTTCTTAATTATGAAGGGGAAGGTAAGATGCCCCCAGGTAAAACTCAACAAATGGATAGCGATCAAGAAACATGGCGAGTTTTGTACTCTGGACCTTTTGTACTTCTGACCTGTAATGGAGCAATAATTAAAATAATGCAGCCTAATGTATGATCATTTCTCATTGGATGGCTATTTTACTGCTTGTGTTATTTAAGTGGAATACTAGCCTGCATGTTTAAATGCTGTAATGCATACAAGATGCTTAATATTTTCATAAATAAAAGCTGACATAGACAAAGATATTAGTGAAGATAATAATATATTATATAATTATATTAAAAAAAACTAATATTTATAAAATATGCACAAATTAATATCCTACTATTATATTTTGTTATCCAATACGAAGACAAACATACATTCTAAGTGTGGCTTAAGTGTCCAAATGCATACAGTGCATTCAAGAAGTGTGTCATATATATCTGATTACACTCAATCCAGAACAATCACATTGAGCCATTTCCCAGGGTAGACTGGGATCTATTTAAAGAGGTTTTTGTATCAATGCTTCTAATAAAACCTAATTAATTTCCCCTTTTTTCGCTAGGAATGCACAACATGTTTAACCCGATGCCTTTGGAGCAGTCCATTGATTGGCAGATCTGTTTTTCACCAGACACTGATGGCTTTAATGGTGAAGGTGCCCCTTTGTTCAGATTTTATTGACCAGCCAGAAGAGGCTTAGCTTTATCATAGCATTCCACATCACTTTCAGGGCTTAACCAGTGCATTTCACATGACAGTAAATAATACTGCTGGTCAAATAATTCATTAGCACAACAATAAAGAGAATAATAATAGGCAAATATGTGCATGTACTTGAAGCCGAACAGAGACGAGTGAGGGGAAGGGAGGGGTAGACAGAGGCTAATAGAGACAGCTTTGTCATGTGATTAGTGGTCTGCTTTGAAGGAATCTGGCCAATGACTAAACAGGACGAGGTGTGGACAGATCAGCTAATGGCTCGGAATGCGGCGGCTAAAGAGGTACCAGTTACTCTTATATTTTCTCATACACTTCAGCTCATATATAGTATTTTACCTAATACAGCCTCTAAATGAGATAAATAAACAGCAGTGAAGGTGTTTTTTTTTATTAATTATCAGACAATCATAGAAATTCTGAGTAATAAAATCTTTAAATTATATAGCAGCCCTCATGTTTTTGGACACTTAGAAGTCACACTTGAAAATGAACATCACTGCATCTCAAACCAAGAAGCATTTTAAGAAAGACAACCCAAAATTCAAGCAAAAATATTAAAATAATTATGGATGCACTACTGTATATCTATAACATAATGGTTATATCGACTGATATTAGATTTTCTTTTTAATTATACTGGATATTTAATTGTGCATGTTCATTTTGCTTATTTTACATTGATCACTTAAAGTTAATCTTTAAAAACACTAATAATTTTAAAAAAGGTTAAATATAATCTTCAGCAAACCTCTAAATGAATATCTATTTTTTAATACTGTACATTATTATTTTATGATTCCTAAATACTTGCAGAATTTAAAACTGTATTTCATTTTCAGTTATAAGAATTTATGCAAAATTGTTTACAAATTTTAATATCAGCCATTAATCAGATATGTCATAACATGAACATAATTATTGACTTAACAGTAAATGCATCCTTTAAAGGTTTGTTAGGTTTAAAATAATGCAACAATAGTGTTCAATAATGAATATTCAAAGTTAAGACTGGGCACCAGTGGTTCCTCTGCTAGGACACCTGTGTGAACTTGAAGGGATCCGACATCTGGTTAAAAGTAATTGCAAAAATGTCTGAGAATGTCAGTTCTGAGAAAATCATTTGTTTGCAGATGCCATTTGGCTGAATAAAATATGATTTGGTAATTTAAGTGTGGCTTAAGTGTCTAAATACTTTTTGGGGGCCAGTGTAAGCTATTTCAACACCTAACATTTGTTGTGTGTAGGGTATTTTTTCCTGCTGCCCCCAAAACTGGCAACTGTTTCCTCCAATCTCACAGATGAATAGAGGCATAATGATCTGAGCCTTCAGTGAATATTACAGCATTATAATCTTATTTGTTTGATGCAGCAATTGGACAGATGTTCTCTTGATTTGACGCTTTTTTGGTTACAAAACGTCCTCCATGAGGCTTACAAATATTTATCCACGTAGCAGCATGAAACTCGTTATGCTGGAGTAGATAAGCTTTGTATGTTTGACTAAAGCATTGCTGTGCTGTTCCTTAATTGCTTCAAATATACAAACCGCTCAAAGACGTAAATACATTGTTTTGAAACAATGAGTTAGTGATAAGCTCACAAATTTAGCTTACTGTTTCCACACTCAATTTATGAATAATCATTTCCTGAAGAAACTTTCTTGAGTGGGTATCAATGGGCAAAATGGAATTTTATGAAGATATAGTAGTTCACCCAGAAATAAAAATTTGATGAAAACTGACTCACCCTCAGGCCATACATGATGGATTTGTTTTTTTACAAACACGCAGCTTTTTGCTTCACAAGACATTAAATGATGGACTGGAGTCGTGTTGTGGATTATTGTGATGTTTTTATCAGCTGTTTGGACTCTGATTCTGACGGCACCCATTCACTGCAGAGGGTCATTGGTGAGCAAGTGATTTAATGCTAAATTTCTCCAAATTTGTTCTGATCACGAAACAAACTCATCTAAATCTTGGATGGCCTGAGGGTGAGTAAATGTTTAGCAAAATTTTGGTTTTGGTTGACCTATTCCTTTATGTGAACAAAAACAGTATGACAGAGAGAGGTTTTTTTACTGTATATTTACCTTCATTTTTATGTTTTGTACTTACAGTACTATACATAATGTAACATATCACCTTTCAGATTATTAGACACATATCTGTATAACTGAGTGTACATGATAATAGTATACACAGAAATAGTGCTTTTTTATTTTGTTTTTTTATCTGTTTTGTACTGAGGGGAAAAAGGGGGAATTATTAGTGCATTCGCGCATTTCATTAAATTCCAGGCACATACCTCGTAAAAACAGTTTATATAACTTATAGGAGGTACCTTTCAAATAAAAATCTGCGATTTTCAGGAGACCAGACTATCCACTTTTTAACTATCTTGTTCCTTTGAATTTGGATACACTTGAGTGTTCCCATATCATTTTGTTCATTCCAGTGTTCAACAAAAAAGCAGTTTCTGCTATCAGATGAATCTCTCTCTCTCTCCCTCTCTCTCTCTCTCTCTCTCTCTTTCGTAAACAAGGCATGGGTTGTCTAGCAAGGAGAACACCTGTAAGACACAGATGAGCGTACCTGAGCCAACCGTCCCGACCGAGTCAATATGCAATTATTTCAACTGAAGATCCACCACTGTCTACATCAAACGCTCCACATTCCTTGGGCAGATTAGCCAAAATTATCTTTTATTATTTTGGCCTGCATAGACGAATTGAACTCTATCTGGTCCACATTGCGATGAAATCCGAGACAGCTTGAATGGCAGTGGTATGTTTGGAGTTTGGATAATACATACCTTTTATGAAAGGGCCAACGGCGGCAGGAGATTAATAACTGAACACTGAGTGCCTTTCACTGATACTATCCCTCTGGTCGTCTTGTAAAAGCCTGTTGAGAGGTTAAATTAAATTGCTGTAATAAATGTTTGGTTTCAGCGACGCTGTATTATTGAAAATCAAACAAACACCGACAGGATTTTGTGCAATGAGGATCAGAAAGGGAAAATTAATAGGTTGGGTAAACAAGGGATTGGTTGTCTAGCAATGAGAACACCTGTAAGACACCGATGAGCGTACCTGAGCCAACCGTCCTGACTGAGTCAATATGCAATTATTTCAACTGAAGATCCACTACTGTCTACATCAAACGCTCCACATTCCTTGGGCAGATTAGCCAAAATTATCTTTTATTATTTTGGCCTGCATGGACGAATTGAACTCGATCTGGTCCGCATTGTGATGAAATTCGAGACAGCTTGAATGGCAGTATGCTTGGAGTTTGGATAAAACTTACCTTTTATGAAAGGGACAACGGCGGCAGGAGATTAATAACTGAACACCGAGTGCCTTTCACTGATACTATCCCTCTGGTCGTCTTGTAAAAGCCTGTCGAGAGGTTAAATTAAATTGCTGTAATAAATGTTTGGTTTCAGCGATGCTGTATCATTGAAAATCAAACAAACACTGACAGGCTTTTGTGCGATGAGGATCAGAGAGGGAAAATGAATAGGCGGCATGGGGCAAGGGGGGAAGTATTATGTACATTTGAAACTGACTTGTTTTCACTTAAACATTAATTAAATTGGAGCTAGAGGAACAATTATATTGATGAATGTTTTTTGTAGCTACTGTAATTAAATTAATCCATTTAATTAACAAATTATATTGAACTTTTCCCCAGAGAGCAACATTAGACTTGTGTTCTCTCTTACAAACAAGCAAAAATAATGTTGTGGAAATTATTGCAATGATCAGAGAAGGAAATTAAACTGTGTCAAATAAAATGCACAGACAAAGACAAACCGATGGGGTGTGTATTGTCATGTTGTAACACAATCACGGATGATTGTAACGCACGGGGGAAAACATAATTGGATCAAAACTTTTTCATACCTTAATGGGCTACTCTAGAGAGATCTGGTTCCCTCATTTGCAAATTAAATTCGATAGCATTCTGACAGCACAATGCAGCTCTATAAATGTATTTATATAATCACTCAATTATTACAACAACTTACATTATGCTCAAAGAAGCAGTTCAAAGGGCTTAAAATTCTCACACTTGAATTTATTGTGTACTGTATCAAGTAAATGAATAACATATAACACTACAGAATTTAGTAGCCTATTGTAATGCTACTACACTTTGGGTCATTCAGCAACTACTACTACTAATTATTAATAATAATAATAATAATAATAATAATAATAATAAACTTTAAAGCAGAATAGAATATTATCCTATTAATAACAGAAAGTGTTTTTTATTCATGTGATTCAGAGTTATTCATGTGTATTCAGAGTTAGATCCCAGATGACTGGCGACTAAACAATGCCATCTAGAGGTAGTGAGCTGACACTACAGTGAGATTGACCTAGTCTGACAAGACCCGTGGCCTAGATCAATTTTTCCCCATTTCATGTCAAGAAAAACTAAGAAGGACAAAGCCATGACTTAAGGTGTTATTTGAATATACGCTATATTAATCAAGACTTCTGTACAAAATTAATTACAGAAGTGTCAATGCATACAACATTAACACAAAGAAAGCGTTTCAATAATATTGTAAGTTACCTCACGCTGCGTTATGTTTTCTCATTGAGGAAAGCTGATTGAGCGAGTCTCTTTTGGATGCTGATTTTTCTCATTTAATTTGTGAGTCCGTCGGGCCTGTTTGAAGTTAAAGCCTACCACATGTTAACCGCTTCCGGTGAGAAGGGAGAGTTCAAGATTATTAATATTTTCGTAGAATCCCGTACGTAAAACAAAAATCAACGAAGTAGACGCCAGACGTTGAATAATCTAATTTTTTGATAAATAAACGAATTAAATAATTAAAACTATGGCGGCCGCAACAAAAAAAGTCACGTGACTGAAACCCATGAATATGTAGTGGGAGGAGTTGGATCTGGATCCAACCTCGCCCCTTGGATCCTGTGTTCTGCAGTGAGGACCATCTCATCTCCTCCTTTAGTAACAATCCTTAATTTGATTTGGTTAAATAGACATCACTACGATTTGGTTCGCAGTTTTGAAGAAAAGGAGGTCTGAATGTTATTGACTTGGAAATATGAACAATGTCTTAAAAAAACTCAATGGCTAAGATAATTTCTTCATAACACAAACAGTATCCTATATGGTTTACAATATCTTCGGAAAGTAGGTGGTCTTGAATTTTTATTCAGATGTGATTTTGAATTGTCCAAGTTACCTCTCAAATTGTCTCTCTTTCATCAACAGGTTTTGTTGTGTTGCAAACTTGCTTTTTCTCACAATTTCAGTCCTCACAAGACTTGTAGCCTATTTGGAACAATCGCTTTATTTTATATTGCGATAAGTCTTTATTTTATGAAAATTTGTTTAAATATAATATCCTTTCTCTATTGGATATGATGGATAACCATGGTGACATTCTCAGCTACAATGATTTCTGCCTGAAACATGGCTTTGTATGTCATCCTAAAGAGTTTCACACAGTTGTAAATGCAATTCCTAGAAGCATGGTATTATTGCTCAAAGGGATTCTTTCTCATAACAGAATGTCCTGTGTCAATATCCATGTTAACCCTCTTACCTATAAACCTATAAGTTAAGTCTGGAGTGTTTAAAAAAGGTTGTATGCTACTTGATTAACAACCTTCTTTGGTAAATTTTTTATTCCTAAGTGTAGATTTTTGAAAACCACCCCTTCTTTTCCTCGCTACATAAATGACCTTAGAATTATTGCTTCATCCCTATGTACACTTTCGAGTAATAAGGCTATTACATTAGCTAATTTTTTTCAATGAGTTTAGTGACGCATAGTATCTTATAACCCCTTTTACAAAGTTATGTAAATGTATTATTATTTTATTTTATTTTATTTTATTAATACAATTCATCTTGAATTTCTAATTCAAGTTTAACTACTGCTATGCAATGTATATAACTATATATGATATATGATAACTTAAAACCTGTAGTGTTTTATATACTAATATAAAATATCATTTATTCTTCTCATGTAAATTGTTTGCTGGCTGCCATGTTTGCTGATGGAAACTCAGTTCATGGCTCACATGTAGTTATGGTATCCACCAGCAGAGGCTAACTGGTTCAGCCAAACCTTGACCTCTTGGCAAAATCCAGTTGCTTATAGAGTGCTACACTGATGACATATTTTTGTAGGCCAACCCGGAAATTAGCATCACCTTTGTTCCCTCGAGAGAAAAAAAAAAACACAATAGCATTTTTCCATTGGCTTTTCGATTTTTGCAGAAAATAAGATCTGTGACCAGCAGAAGTTTACATTTTTGCATGTTTTGTTCATACAATCGCCAGGAATAAACAAACTAAACCACTGACTCCGACATCACCATTAGTTTTCCCTTTTAGTTTCAGTCTTGATTTAACAGACAGTTTCCAAAGTTTGAGTTTAAAATAGTTTGCAAGAATGTGATATAAACACAATGAGGCTGTAAAAGCGGTAAAGATGATGATGTTTAATGCCCATGACAACCTCTGTTGTTCCATTTAGCCACTTGTTAGCAACAACCTTTTCCAAGCAAAAACTTTTAAAAAAAATCAGAATGTGGCATTACTGGTATATTTCATGCCAGTGAATAAAACATGAAAATATTTTTAACTTGTGTTAATCACAGACCCTATTTCAGACATTTTAACAAAAACCCATTCAGTAAACCCATTGACTTCAGGACGATGAAACCGGAAGTTCTAAAATGCAGCACTGCTGCACGCTATAACATTATCCTCCAAGAAGTGACATTATTTTTGTGGAAAATCAACAACACAGGTGGAAAACAGTAAGTCTAAGTAAGTCTAAGTCTCATCATTTGTCTGGTTTTAGTACCATAAAAAGGGTTTGAATAGTCTGAAAGTGGGAGACCACAAAATAATTTTCACATGATTGCTTTTCTTATTACTTTTAAATTATCATAATTTTGCTTTAACAGCGTCTTAATTAATGTTCTTCTACAGCTAGGCTTGGTGAATTTGAAAGATCGAAGATCCACAAAATTATAGCAGCCACACTTTTTTACGGAAATTAGGCTGAACTTGAATTTTGATATGGCTTATGGTTTTTAACAGAAATGCCTACTCGCTCCTAAATCCTAATCTGATAGATGCAGTCCTATGCAGTTTTTTTTTTTCCACCAAAGCAGTCTAAACAGTCTGCTAGTATTTTTATATAGTTATCCCTCAATATAATTGTGTCCCAACAGTTTGTACTTGTCTAATCTACATTTCCCATTATTAGAAATCCTGAAGACGCCCATATTCATCAATAAAACCAAAGGAAATTCACACATATCTCTCTTTCTATTTTTTTCTGTCTGTGTGCTAGTTCACATGTCACATAAACACAAATACTCGCATGGATTAAGTAGTTCTTTTCAGTGCCATCAAGCATTAAATATTATCTTAAAAGCTCTTTCAGTAAGCCACCCATAATTCCACTGACAATGTGGGCTTCCTGACACACCACACCCTTTAAAACTATAACTTTACACTTGACATTATAACCTGCTTTTTTAAAATATCACAAAATATGAATGCAATTGGTGATCAATACAACCCTTTTGAGAAAACATAAAAAATAAACATGTTGAATTTGAATTTCAGGATCAAATATCTTTTCTTGTGCATGACAATGTTTATTGTAGAGCTTGAGAGAATTTGACCACTTAATGCAAATACTTTCAAAACACCAAAGAGCTCACACTGTATATATGTCATGAATGTTGTGTTAAAATACAACCCATTTGCATTATACATGGCATTTTTTTTTACTATGATTTTAACCTGAAAATGATAAACAATAAGAATTCACAATTCATCTGTGGTAAACAGTTTTTAGACATGTGAGTTTA